ACGTCTGAAGTACAGAAATAACACCATATAAGACACATGTTGAGCTAAAAATGTTAGAGCTCTTGCAACTGGCGTTTGAGCTGTGCAGGGGTCTCTCTCTTCCAGAAGATGATTGAATAAAAAGAAATATAAATGTTTTAACACACTATGAGTCGGTTTTCTCTGTTCTATCACAGGGTCAAAAGAATCGGGGTTAATATTTGGTGTTTCCACCCGGTTCTTTGTGTAACAGAGAGAACAAATGTGACCGAAGGTTGGATCTGATATGAGGCGAACAGAAGACCGGTCTAAAGAGATTTAAAGGTAGGCACAAACCTATTCAAAAAGCAAATTTGTGCAGATTGGATGAATTCTAAATTATCTGTTCACTGATCTTAACTATTAAATTGGCTCAGTAGTGGTAAAACTAAATTCTTGAGAATAAAGTGAAGCTTTGAAGTAAGGATAATGAAACCTTGAGAATGACAGTACTGAGTTAAAGGTCATATGGTATTTTATGGTAAAAGAGAAAAGAGACCAATGTGTGTTTAGGAAAACACAGGATCATAGGTTATTGGTCAGTTTATGGTTTAATAAGTGTCAAACTCACGGGGTTGAAGAACCTCCTACCCCTCTGAGACGTTGGAGGGGGGCTCCAGCGTGGGCATACTGCAGGTGGCACCTCCCAAGAGTTGTGGGCTTGGTTTTAAAAATAGCCAATGATTGACAGGATCATTTTAGGAGACACTTATTTGTGAGTAAAAAGAGTAATTCTGGACGTGGAAGTCCGATGAGAAGGGCACCTAGAACTGGGCAAGGTGTCTAAGTGACTCAGGATTTCAGAGAATCGAGTCAGTTGTGATCTTGAGTTCTAATGGAAAATTGATTTTAAAGGAAAATCAATGTTTACCATGTTGAAGTAATTCTGAAGATATTACTAGATGTGCTGTGACACAAGTGAAGAATCGGTTGTGTACATGGGGATACACAATTGTGTTGATATTGATGGATCGGCTGCGATCCATCTGATAAGTTAACACTGGCTGCACTGAGACAAGAAACTGTTTTTAAATCATCTCTGGCTGCAGTGAGATACATGTGCTGAAGATTACTGGACCCATAGACGTCCATTTGATGAAGTTCTTGGGCAGATAAATGACAGAAACCGTTTTTGAATCTTGTGAGAATTTTGAAGCACTGAGAGTGAGTTTTCTCCATGCTTGGTGCGCTGTGAGGACTTATATCAGGGTTATAAGTCCAAAGTTTTAGGGCCTGGAGGCCAAGAGTTGTGTGTAGAGAAGAACATGACTCAGAAAAGGACATTTATGGTCATATTTTGTCTAATTTGGGGAGAATTGTCCCATATGTGTTTATTTCTCTTCCCTTTTAAGAGGACATACGCAGTTACTGGCTGCAGTGTACTTCCTCTTTCTGATTTTAAAAGCAAGTTTGATAAAAATACTCTTAGGAAAGCGTATTTTGAGTGATTCTGTGTGATTTGTACCAAATAATAAATAAGTAATAATAACACTACGTAGGTTCATAGCAGAGTGCGGGAAAAAGAGGAAGTCTGAGAGAAGAGAGAGTGTGTGTGCATCAAACAGCAAGTCTGAATAGAGCTTGTGAGCTGGTGAGAGACGTTGCAACATGAAAACAGAGGAATTAGAGACTGAATGTCTTAAGAAAAAGTAATAAAAAATGATATTAATTACATGTTTTAGTGTGTCAATACAGGTGGAGTCTTCTCAACCTCAAAACATGAGTACAGCGGCAAAAGGATAGACAGTGTTGGGGAGTAACGGAATACATGTACCGCCGTTACGTATTTAAAATACAAAATATGAGTAACTGTATTC